TCAGAAACCCTGTCATTTGGACCTCTTCCCTTCAAATTGTCTCCTTCCTAGATGCTCTATCATGGTCTTCCAACATCTCATCTTATCCTCCCTCATTCGTTCACTTGACAATATGTTCAGCATCCGACCCTCTGAGGAGAGATGACTGTATTCTCCAAAGGTGAGTACAAAAGATGTATTTAGGTAATTGCTAGAGAGATGGATACACCATCTTCAATGTAAAATGTTAAGGCCAGTCTGTCCATCAAGAGATGGTCTATCCAGCAAGTTAGATCTAAAAACATAAGGTTGTATGTAAGGTTATTTATAAGGATGAATGTAAAGTTCCAAGAGCTCAGATGAGAGTTATGTACTTACAGAGGAACTAGGTCCCTGCTGGCTACAGTGTCAACCAGTTCAGGTAGATCCATTAGACTCCCAAAAGTACCTGGGACAAAACCAGACTGATATCCTGAGATTAAAACTCCAGTCCAACGAGAAAGATTCAAGCCATTGCTAAGTCACGCTCCAGTCCGCAAAGTAGAATTCCCGGGCATAAAATCAGGAGGCAGTGCAGCTCCTTGTAGCCGAGGAACCTTCAGCCCGCTGGGAATGTGCAGTGCGTAACTCCAGTCTGAAAGATGCTCTCCTCTTCATCTGTACATGCTACACCTGCAAGAGTGCAACCACATCAAAAGGAAAAGCATCCTTCCTAACTCCCATCCACGTGCACTTTTAAAAAGTCCAACAACAACTCAAAATCTCCTGGAGTCTTCCGAGATGAACCATGCGCACTCAGGTGAAGACCTTCTTAAGTGAAACCTTGTTTTTGTTTTTGAAGGACGCAGCTCTCACGGCAGCGCTGGTTCTCGGATGTGGGGCTCGTCTCTGAGTGGATGCCACCGCAGATTAACTCGGGCTTCACAACACAAAGAACACGCCTCCACCCTCCTCCTCTTCCCCCCCCTCGCATGCACTCGCTCACACGGCTCCTCGCTCTCAGCACCACGGACAGCTCCTCTGCCGCTCTGCTGTAGTAAACGGGGCAGGAGAGCATGTGTCAGTCATGGCACAGTGGGCGGGACGGGCATACAGGGTGTGACCTCATTAGACTGAGCACCACTCCCAGTGTCCTCAACTAGTAAACAACACAGTGGAAAAGCCAACAGACAAGCCCTAGTTGAACTTCAAATTATCCAGGAGTAAAATGGACTATGGTTCATTTATGCATTCTTTTTTATTTTTATTCTAAAAGCAAAAATAATGAACTATTTTTTTTCTTTCCAGGAAATAAACAAAATAGCTTTCTCTGAATCTTTAAATCAAAAAGTATAGGGGAAAACAAAAAATCACAGCATCATAGAGAAACAGAAGAGAGTTGGTGTGTGCGAGATTTGTTTACATGATTGATGCGGTGAGCATGGGCTTCAAATTCAAATTCAAATGGATTATTACTGTCGACACAAAGGGATGAAGGGCAGCGATCTGTTGTTTTGCTCAAGCCCCCCTCTCTCCCCCTCCCTCACTTTCCCCCTCCCTGCCTCCCACCGTTTCTGTGTCTGCGACTGATCTAGCATCCAAAAAAAAAAAAAAACGGGGGAACTATGTCAGAGGCACAAGTGTGCAAAGACATCTTTTACAGAAAATGACAGAGCTCACAGGCTCTTTTGCTGAGAGGAACAGGGACAATAATTAGGTAAACATCTCATCAGTTGCTTTGCTTGGCAAACACAAGACGAGATAGTTCATCCAAGTAAAGCTGCTAACAAAGGCCAGCCTGACCTCTTGAAATGAGCTTTGTGTTGAGGTCACAGTTTAGTCTCTTAAATGCAGAATCAATAACATGCTGTGTAAATAATTCAGGTGAGCGTGAAGACAGTGATCATTTTTCTACCAGTTAAAGATTGATAGATGTTGTTAACCAGATTTGCAGTTGGTTTTGGCTCTTGGGCTGTTTTTGCGGAATAACAGGGTCATCAAGTGATGGGCTGGTTTTATTACTCTGGAAAGGAAGAGGTGAGGATCAGCAGGTCAGTGGATGAGAACGGACATTTTAAAGATGACAGGCTTTCATTAAAATTCCACAGCAACTTTCTTTTTCAACATCAATGCCTCGCGGACTAAAGTGGGCCACCAGTCTATGTTTTCACCTTGATTGGAAATGAAAATCTCTCTCACACACACACACACACACACACACACACACACACACACACACACACACACACACACACACAATGATGTTTTAAAGGGATAATTCATCTAAAAATAAAAATTCTGTCATCAGTTACTCACCCTCCCCCAGTGAAAAAAGGATACTTTATTGTATTTGAAATATATTCCATTTTTCAATAGTGCATTGCAAATATACTAACAAAAAAGTACTATCTTTAAAAGCATCATGCTTTTACATATTTTCACAATACAAATTTGAACACACTTTAAAATAATTGTACTTTAGTATATTTTCTTAAAAATATATTTTAGAAAAATATACTTGAAGGGAAAATTCTGTTTATTTTTTAAAAGTGTATTTATTTGCACTTTATTAAAAATATATTTTAGGTATATTTTAACTGTGTGCATTTCGATGCATTGAAAGTATACTTTCAAAATACGTTATAGTATACAATAGTATATTGTACAACGTATAGCTAAGTAATATTTGTTTATTAATGTGCATTTGTTATTGAAGACAACGCGTGCGATTTGTATATTTGGAATAAGCCAAAGGTATTGAGCATATACTTTTTACACAAATATAATACACTTATGGTATATTGCTTGTATGTTTCGAAGACACTCGTAATGAATTTGTAATGTACTTGTGTAACACAAATAAAGTACACTTTAATATCACTAATCAAGCATGTAATTAGTCCCTACACAGGCATATACTACGTATACTTGAAGTTGTTCCAATTTAGCACACAAAAGTACTCTAAATACACTTAAAGTTATGCTTTACTACAATTTAATTACAACTAAAATATACTTAGTACAAAATGAGTTGTTCCAAAATAGCACACTTCAAGTTAACTAATCATTAACACACTTGAAGTATACTGAATTAGTCTGTCTGCAAGTATACTTAGCTCATATCTTTTTCTCATCATGATCATATCTTCCAAATTCTGTGAAACATAAAAGAAGCTATTTTTGAGTAATGTTTGTGTTTTTTGTCCATACAATGGAAGTCAGTCATAACCAAAACAGCTCCAACCCTAATAAAACACATCTGAACAAGCTAACCAAGGTCTTCAATATTATTATTAAAGCTACATCTCGGATCTCGAGGGCCAGAGTTGCCTTGCCATGCTCTAAAACATCGATAGGAATGAGTTAAATCCATTCGGTGGCATCAAAATTCAAATGATCTTTAAGGTGCACGCCAACAAAATTCTCCAGTAACACTAGCACAAGTACTCACACTCATCCCCCTATGACAGGATCACACATCCCGACGAGTGTGAGCTGTTGTAAGAGCAGTGATACTGAGGTGAAAATTGGGGTCCAAGGGCCACATTCCCTCAAACAGGCAGCAGATTAAATCTGGTATTTTGCCTCTTACCGGTCATAAATCCACATTATCCTGCAGACAAATGGGGTACGCCTGATGTTTGAATGGTCTGAAACAGGTCTGCAGTTTCTAATCTTGTTTTCAGTTTAACACATTGACAAAACGACCTCAAGAGCACCAGGGGATCCCTTAAAACGACTGGCGACCAACACTCCAAAAAAAGTTTGTAATTTTTATAGGAAAAATACTACTATACAGTTAGAAAATGTCAAATTAAATAGTAAAACTTAGTCAAATTTAGTTTTTATATTTCTACATGTTTCAGACTCATTGTTTAATTTTTTGCTTAAAAGCCAACAAGTAGGCTGCTATATAAATAAATCTTATCTTTTTGTAGGCAAGGCTTGAAGTTATGCCTACAAAAAAATAACTTATAATAATAAAAACTACCCTCAGAAATATTAGCGGAAGTGTGACAAATAGCTCAGGTTTTTTTTTTTTTTTTTTTTTTTTTAAAGATCACAAGATCAATCACTATATGCACAAACATGTAGGCCTACTCTTCACTTATGAGGTTTTTGTAAGTAAAATGTGGTTTATTACCACTCAACTACTGTGTCCAGTGCATCTTTGAGGTGCTTTAGCTCCACCTGCTGGCTACTGGTAATAATGTTTTGCAATAATGCAGTAGCTGTGAAATACAGTGACATTTGCAACAGAGTATTATGTATAGAAAATGGCCAATATTGCTGCCAGCAAATACTTACAACAAGGTGTTGTACTTAGGATAAAAACACTGTAGAATGGACGTGAAAATGCCCTAATACTTTGAACGTTTGCACTGTTGCTTTTGTGCAGGGTCATCATTGAGTGCTGGTCTAACGCAATGGCTTTTCACAGACTGTGATGTCATGTCAACATGTCAAAATATAAAATATATACACATTTAATGCTATATTGTGTTTGCCAGTAAATGATAAAAAATGTATATATGTTTAGTTTGCATGTCTCATGAATTAATAGGAGCAGGAGTGGAACTCTGTACAAGCCTAGAGTGGCTTCGTTCCCTCCTTGCATTGTTCTGTACTTGTACTAAACGTGCTAAACAAATAAACTAAACTAAACTAAACTAAATATAAAATAAAAAACGGATTGACTGCTGCGAGGGTGTTTCTAATACAATGGCTGAGGGAGACAGGGAGTAATTGCAAATATCACTGTGTATTATGTCCAATTTAATTAATCTCTCTATATTTTTTCCTCTTTTGGAAAGCCATGAAAACACTATCACAGTTTTTTTTTCTTTTGCTATTGGGGCAAAACATTTGCAGTAGTTTCCTGTTCACTGCTACAGAAGTTTACCAAACTATGAGGATATCCACTTCTGACTGAGAACCCCAGAAATGTGAAAGGGTCCATTAACAGTGCCAGGGAGGGACCCTAGGCCTACCCTAACGGCCCTGCTTCCGCGTCCCACACCCGGAAATGTGAACATGGTCCGTGGAACACTGTCCCTTTAAAACTGCAGTGAACGAGTGAAGGGAACAGTTTATTGTGCAGAAAAGTAGTTGGACCTTTTCTCCCGATAATAAACAGCATTAGGTAGACATGGCGGACATACGAAAAGTTCACTCTGCGAGATATACTCAGAATAACGCAAAAGATAATGTTTCGCTAGGAGAAGGCAGTGGCAAATCTGTGTTATTTCTGAAGTTATTTGCTGCAGTTTGCTACGGGATCTCTTCTTTTGTCATTGTTGTCATTAACAAGAGTGTTCTTACTAATTACAGGTAATGAATCGCATTCATATTCATTCATGTTTTCTTTCAGGACATTCATATTCAATGTGTTTTATTACCAGATGCGACCGAGAAAGTACGTTATGGATCTGACAGCTTAAACTCTGTGTTTCGCAAGATTTTTACTCACCTTTGCTATGATATATGACATATTGCTTGGTCATAGCTGCTGTTAGCACATATAAACACGTAAAAAAAATACTGTTTTACTATAATGTATTCTAATCTCCCGTATTATGATTTTTAGTCTTTTAAACGGAAAAATTGTTTGCAAATAGACAGTGTGGACAAGGAATGAGCGCCTTTCATTAAAATGTTTATTATTTTGTGCACTGTTATTCTGTTTTCCCACTCAGATTTCCTTCCTCTTTAGCAGTGGGAATTGGCCAGGTAAGAATTTGTGTGTTAATTATGAATCTCACGAAACCTATATTGAAAACTTCCATTGAGAGTTTTGTGCATTGACATTTTCATAAATGCATAACATTTTGAAGAAATCATTTAATTATTGTACGAAGTCGTTTTTCATTATTTTTCTATTTATATTAATTATATAAATTATATGTATATGAAATCATTTAATTATCTTGAAGCTTCTGCTAAGATAACTAGTCCATTACAACAATATGATATTAGAGTATTCATTATGCATTATTCATCTGCAATCCAATCAAATAATGTGTAGAAAGTACCAAGCATAAGCATATCATGACAGTAGTAGGCCTACTAAAGTCAAAGGCTACAGTCAGTAGCTGTTTCAAGACATAAAATGGTGCCAATTACCTCTTCTCATCTGTGTTTGAATATAGAGAGAGACTGCAGATTGTTCATTGTACTCAAATATTTGACTGCTCAATCTTGACCACAGGATGTTCCAGACAACTGTAATAAGATATTTTCTTGTCAGGTTTTCTAAGATAAACCGCACTTTAGTTTAGTGATATATGCCACTGCATTGACTTGCTCAGTATTCATCTTAATTGAACGATAGCTCTCAGAAATAAGGTAGACTGTACATGTTCAGCATTTAGCTTTCATAATCTGTTTCATGCACACATGTAGGCCTACTTGCAGTATTTGGGGTTTTAATGACTGTGACATATCAAGCATTTTTTTATTAAACATGTATCTTACATACATTTAGCACTTAAATTCCAGTAGCTGATGAAGGTTCATTATGTTGTTTGCAGATGTTTGCAACTGTTGTTGTGCTGCGAGCAGCAAAATCATTACATGTGGTTGATTTCCCAGATTTTGATTGGCATGTACCTCATAAGGTAAGTCTGAGCACACTCGAGGCCAAACTATACTTCAGGTTTCACGTATACACACTTTAAATTCAGTTCTCCCAATATTTACTGTGTAGGTATTTCCACTTCCCTTTCTGTACGTGGGGAATCAGTTAACAGGCCTGTTTGGAACAAAACAACTGAAGTAAGTGTGTGGTATTCTGAAGAAAAGAAAACAAAGCTTCAAACCTTTTGTAAACGTTCATGCACAGCTGTTGTTGTTATTATTACATACTGAATGTACAATAATATAACATGCTGTATGATCTCTTTTGCAGTCTGCCAATGTTTACTGTGCTCAGGCGATTCTCCATTTTATTCACAATGCTGTTTGAGGGTTACCTCCTGAAGTATGTCTCCACAGTATGATTTTGCTTTTGTATCAGTTTGCAGTTGATCCAGTTCAAGTTGTACGAGATGTGAGATTTACACTTACATTTATTGTTTGTCGTGTGTTTCTATTTGTAGAAAGACGTATTCATGGTCCATAAAGGCAACCGTATTCACCATGATCCTGGGAGCTTTTATTGCTGCAAGGTAGCTTAAAATGCAAACTCGATGAAAATATTGCATTTGAGATTTAATTCCTTGACCTCGCAGAAAACCAGTTTTTAGGAGTATTTATGAACAGTGCCGGACCGGTTCTTTTGAAATCTGAGAAATGGCTTGTCGCTTCGATTAATTTGACTTTATTTGACTTTCACAGCACAGATTTAGCTTTTGACCTCCATGGATATGTGTTCATTACACTTAACAACATTCTGACTGCTGCAAATGGGGCTTATATGAAACAAAAATTGGACTCCAAGGTAATTTAACCCTTAAGCCTAGTTTATGCTTGACATGTCCACACACAAGTGCACGAGTGTGTGCAACAAAAGTCCCACGATCTCTGCGTGAACAGTTTTGCGAACAAGGCTTCAAGTCCAATATCTCTATCAGTTGTTCTGGTTTAGAAAGAGTATGCCTTTTGTATAAATGTGTTCAGACTATAATACACAAGTGTTTAATATATATATATAGAAACTGAGATGACTACATTTTGTCATCTTTATTTATTACTTAGTTAGGTTGAATTCAGGTAAATTGGGTTCCACCATAGAGATGACTGGGGAAAAATGCCCCAATAATCCTGAATTAAACACTTGGGTCTGGTTTCACAGACTTTGATTAAGCCAGAATTAGTCCAGTTTAGTTTGGACATCTGGGTAGTTTTTATAAACGGGCCTTAGAAAAAATTCTGGTTACTGGTGAACCATTACTGGTGTGCATCTAGAGACAAAGCCATGATACTGACATATTTTAAGATTTGTCAGTGCCAGTTGCTTTCAGTTAAAACAGCTCAAACATACATTTTAGTCTAGGACTAGGCTTAAGCCTTGTCTGTGAAACCAGGGCTTGGTGTTTAGGCTTGTGGTGTCTAAGAGATGGGGAACACAATTTCATGCTTTCATGAGCCCAGACAAATAGTCGGTCTGCAAGATGTAAGTGTTTTTTTTGTTTTTTTTATATCACAGATATATTATTTTGACAGAAAACATTATTTTAGAATGCTTGTCAATGTGGAAATATGATATTTGGCCTGCTGGACCTGCTATCCAGTCAATTCCTGACCCCCTTCTTTTAACCCGTTTTTAGTCTAAAATAAAGTCTAGTTAAAAATGTTGGTTAATTTTTCTCTTATTTTATCAAATGATTTCCCCCTCCTTGCATTTCAGGAACTTGGAAAATATGGGCTGCTGTATTACAATGCTTTATTCATGATTATTCCCACTATGATTTTAGCATACTTAACTGGAGACATTCAGAAAGTAAGAATTTTAATAAATAAACATATTTATTTATTACACTAAATGTTTTGATAAATGAAGGACAGTTGAAAAAATAGATCTAAATTCTGCTTGACTTTTTAAGAAAATGTACATAAAAACCAATACAAAGAATAAATATAATCTGTTGTGAATTTTCAGACTTTGGAGTATGATGGTTGGACCGACGTTTTCTTTGTGATTCAGTTTGTGTTGTCTTGTGTCATGGGGTAAGTCTGATATTTCTAATCTTTTTCTTTACTTGCAAGTCACAGTCGCTCTACAGTGTTATCCTACTCAACTGCTTACTCATGACACATAGCAACACAGCTAAAAGTATTCCTAATATATTGGACCTTTTATTGAAAGTGGTCTATTTTTTTCCTGTTAAGACCAAGCTGCAACCTCTCTTGAATCCAACAAGGAAGTGACTTAAACTGCAGTTCATCGACTGGTCACTAGAGACAGGCTCCAAAAGAGAGTCAATCCCATGTTAAAATGCCCAACTTTACAGCAGAAAAAAATATGTTTACAGCCTGGTACAAAAAGTGGTTTTGGTCTATATAGCTAATTCTGTCCTTCGTGACAACTGTGAGGGATGTGAATTTTTTATAACTCATCCATTTAAATTATATTAAGCCTTAAAGTTGTGCATAATTAAGGGCGTGGCCACTTGAGTGACAGGTGGATTGCAGCTCCTGTCACTTCTAGATGTTTGTCTGCTGTCTGTTAGCGTCACGTCACCTCAGCTAATACCGCCTCTTTGCCCATTTTCGTTTATCCGGGAGTCACGCGCTAGGATGGCGACGGCCGGCTCCGCCCACTTTGGGCTTCAAAAATGCTCTTCAGAAACCTACGGGTGATGTCACGGACACTACTTTTTATACAGTCTATGTTTGAGACATGCCTTCACAAGCACCCCTAAGAGTTGTGTTTGTAGTGTTTGAGTTGGGGGAGGCGTGACGTGCGAAAGGGGCGTTTACAAAATATGCTGTACTTTTGTAATTCCACTACGTGTTGCAGAAACTCCTTTAAGCTGTTTTTTGTTTTTGTAATTTTTTGAGATGTTAAAACTGATATTCTTTTTTTGTGATTCAAATATCATTGGTTGTTTTGGCAGGTTTATACTCATGTACTCAATTATGATATGCACACATTATAACTCCGCTTTGACGACTACAATTGTTGGCTGCATCAAGGTTGGTAATTCACTGAATCTTGGCGATTGAGAAGTGTACTATAAATATGATCAGTTAAGAGTTAACTGTGTTTCCTTTAACCAACCCAACAGAATATCTTAGTGACATACATCGGGATGGTGTTTGGTGGAGATTACATCTTTACTTGGGTTAACTTTATCGGCCTAAACATCAGGTAAAAAGGCCCATTGTAAAATGACAGTGAAGAAACATAGCCACAGAATGTAATCTCAGTATGAGGGTCATTCTCATGAAAAGACTGGAAAGGAAAGTACAAAATGTGATGTCATTTCCTTGAATGATCAAGGTGCGGTAACATTGACAAATTCAGGATTTTCTCAGAAAACATGAATTTAGAAGAAATAATTAAAATGTGAATAAAAACAAAATTTAGGTAGAATTCAAAATGTAAAACTGTATAACCCATACATTAAAAAAAAATCACTTTTCTTACCTTTTCCCCCCAATAGCATTGCTGGCAGTCTTGTGTACTCGCACATCACGTTCACTAAGGAACAAAAAAGTAAGTGCAGGAAAAAATGTGTATTTGTGTGTGAATCAAAACAAGGATCTGTTCAAATCCATCTCATAATTTTCATGTCATGGTTTCATTTTGTTTAATACTATTGAATAAGGATAAGTGTATTTGAGATGACATGTAAAATATTGTGTCTTTTAATAGAAACAAGTTGATGGAACAATAGGAGAATGTTGATAATACTCATGGGAGTCAAGAACCCAGTCCGTCTCATTTCACAGCGCCTTGAGCTGAACTGTGACCAGCAATCTTTTCAGCAACTTTGGTACTTTTCATTAACCAGTTTCTGTTGCCATGGTAACTGACTTGCTGAACTTCTTTCTTTTTTTTTTTTTACATTTAATAATGTTGATTTTTTTTAAATAAAAAAAAACACAAGATGGATTGTTTGTATTATGTAAATCATGCACAGTATTTCTATAATTTTTTAATAATTTTTTAATGGTTTAATGATATTTGGAAAGACGAATGTTAAAAAAAAGTTTTATTGAAGTTTTTAGATGGATGACAAATTATTTTCTTTGCTATGATATGAGATCAACATTTCCTTTTGTCTCTGTAAATTGTAAATGTCTCTATCTTGGTTCAAATTGAACTGATCAATTCTAAACAATAAAAAAAAAAAAAACTTTTCTGTATTTGATGAGTTTATTTGTTTTTCAACCGAGTGATAAATCAAAATTACTTAACTCTGGTGAATTAACATTATGCCGCAAAAGCTGTCGATAGAGCTTATATTGAACCTGGATCGAAAGGTTATAATAATAATTATAAAAACACCAGGAACTTTGCCTACATGCAAAAAAAACTGAATTGATATATCAAACATATAGAAAAGGAATCACCTTTTTCCACCTTTGTTGCCATTGGCTTGGCTTGCTTAGTTGGGGACATTAAATGTAACATTTAATTTAATATTCAACAATATTATTGATCTGCCTGCATTGACACCATTATACAAGAACTGAACTGAGCTGGACGATGACATTTTTTCCAGAGCGGCTATATATAGAAATGAACTAAACTAATGACTTTTTTTTTAAACAAAAATGAAACATCACTGAACTTACTTAAGCTGGACTGTGACGCTATTTTCTTCTGGAAACAAACTTTGTTGCATTATTTTCCTGTTATCACTGTAAAGCTGCTTTGAAACAATCTTTATTGTAAAAAGCGCTATATAAATAAAAGTGACTTGACATACACTGTTTGATATCATTTGAAATGTCTCAGTGCGACTGGTACAATGGTTTCATCCACACTATAACAGTAGACTTTTATAACAAAAAGGTTATGTTGGTCGACCTTTTTGAATATTATCACCACTCTGCTCATCAGACTGGCGAGTTTATGACAGATATTTCAACCTTAAAGGATTAGTGAAGGAAAATTCTGTCATCATTTACTCACCCTCAAGTTTCTTCGAACCCGTGTGAATTTCTTTCGTCTGCTGAACACAAAAGAAGATATTTTGAAGAATGTCGGGGTAACCAGACAGTTGATGGACCCCATTGACTTCCATAGTATTTTTTTTCCTACTATGGAAGTCAATGGGGTCCATCAACTGTTTGTTACCTTCTTCAAACTATATTCTTTTGTGTTCAGCAGACAAAAGAAACTCCGATCCGATTTGAAGAACTTGAGGGTGAGTAAATGATGACAGAAGTGAACTATTCCTTTAATTTGAGCTTTTATAAATTCGACTCGGATGAAATAACAAAATACGTTTTCTTTTGTTTGTTCTGTTGTAATTTAATTAGAGCCAAACTGAAATAAGAGTTTTGCATAGAAGTACTAATAAAAGACAGAAGACACAGGAAACCTGCGGCGACCCTACTGGGATCCTCATTGCATTCTGATGTAGTATTTCCATTGCTCAGTAAATTCACAATAACATATGTTAGATATATGGCAGTGGATCAACTTAAGTCTGTTCATCGTTTTAAATAAACACCTCTTTGCACTACTCCAAAAATACCATCAGTAATAAACCAGTGTGGATTCCAAAATCATTGCCATTTAAGATGTATTTAATGCATAAGTTCTGATCAGAACGAGTGCATACATCGCACTCTAGACCATTTAAAATAAGATTAATGCTACAGTCACATACATGAAGCTAAGAGAACTCTTCAAATGGTGACAAACAACACAAATGACAATAAATAAGCCAATGAAGATGACCAGAGGAAATATAGCACCATGATTTCTTAAGTTAATCTTCCACAGAACGAGGTGTAAAAGCGAACTTTTCTCTAGAAGTGCTGGGGCTGTATTACAGTGAATTCCTGTCAACAAAATACTCAAATATTATTATTAAGATGTGGTTATGGACATATCTGTGGCCATAAGATCCCGTTTCCATGTTTCATTAATTAACATTGCAATAAACATGGCTCTAGGGAAGTACAGCTTGTTAAATCCAACTGACCCACAAAGTAAACAGTTCAAAAAAAAAAACTTTGTTTTTGGTCAAAGATATTCCATAAATTCCTCTGGGCTATTTTATAAATTTGCATTGATTTGAATTATATAACTATTAATTCTGACCGCTTTTAAAACTGTTGGCTGAAACATGTTACTTAAATTCACCGTTATTGGTAATTCTGTTATAGTTTGTTGGCTACAAACCGTATAATCATCCAGTTTCATTAATTGCAAGAATTTGAGTTCTCACAAACAGCTTCTGAATATCATGTACAAAATACACAACAAAAAAAAATAATCTAAAGATGGATTTGCAGTGCGAATATCAAAACATGTGCAAGAAATCTATTCGAACCTAAACATGACAAGAGCCTCTTTTACCATCATAAACAAAGAGAAATGCCCACGTCAATAACATGCCCTCTAATCATTTTTAATTTCCAAAAGAAATAAATTATGTTTTGCTCAAAGAAAACGAAGCCCATTTTAGAGCTATAACATTTTTGAATATTCTTATTACATTAATGTGAAAATATGTACATAGAAAAGTAATTGTATATTACGGTTGTATTAAAAAAAATTGTTTTACTTGTCTTCGTCTTTATTTATGGCAGTTGTAGTTTTAAATCAATTATTGTGTCCAGACTGGGTGATATTTTTCCTCAATGTCAGTAATCTATGAGAAATGAATGAGAATGACTAAAATTAGATGCCTTTAGGTATGATGCTAAATAATGGTCCCAAAAATGGGCTTCATTTCCTTTACACTATTAAAAACACCAACAAAAAACAAAACAATGAAAAGTAAACAGATTCACTCAGTTAATAGAAAATACAACTAACAAACCAATTTTCTGGACGCTTTACAAACACAAAGCTTAGGAGTGATTCCATTGGCTTATTTATTTTGACTACATCTGTGGGGAGCTCGCAGTGTGCCTCCGCTAACACAAACCAGCTGACCAGTGAAACATTAGTATATAATGTAAACCAAAACGCAACTTGATTTGCCTGGAGACATACTGGCCCCGCCCTAAACACAAGAGACCACGCCCACCAGCATTCATCCTCATGTGGTACGTATAATGGCTTATACAGCATATTCACCCATTGTCAAAATGTCTCAATAAAAAATATAAATATCTTGTTGATAAAAAAATATCAGAAAAATTCCATTACATATAGAATATACATTTCTCTGTAAAATGGTTTCTTGAAAAAGGAGCATTAATCAGCTGTGGTTGGGTTTGGAGGGTGGTGTTTTTGGAGCAGCTCAGCTTTGGGTTTAGGGTGGATAGGGTGAGAGGTGTCACAGCCCTGTCCCATCTCCCCAGTTTAAGATTTTGGCCTGACCTTTGGTCTTGTTCAGTCTTCTTTTATCCTGGAAGGGTCCGTCTCAACCTGGGCCAGTGACTCTGATTCTGTCCGGCACTTTTTTGTTGGTCTGTCTAGGCTCTGGCAGTCATGTTGGTGATTCACTGAGCCATTTCTGTCTGAGTTATGAGTGTCTGTGAGGTTACAGCCGTTGGAGTCCAGATGATCTGCGAGTAGACTGTGTTTAGATGCTCCGTTTGACTGAACAGATTCACTCTTCAGCTCATTCACACTACTCATCAACATCTGTGTGGCGACTGCACTGGAGCTGTGACTGGTGAGTCCTGAATTGAGAACCACAGAGACGGGCTTTAACGCATAGTTGTAACAAACGATTCAAACACACCACATACAAATTTAATCCAACCTGATTTCTACAAAATATCCTGAAAGAGGCACCAAAGCATTTCAATTTAGTGTGTAAAAAAACGGACACTACTGTACCGTTGTGGCCGCTAGTCTCCTCTCGCTCTGATTGGCTGGTGCTGCTGCTGGAGGCGGCAGGAAGGGGCGTGGCTGCCCGACTGGAGGCAGTGCTTTCCGTTTCATCTAGAAGTCTGTCCATGTAATCCCTACCCCCAAAAAAACACAAACACACCTTATTTTGAGAAACAGCAGACACAAAAATGACTCTTACTTTCAAGAGTGTTAAATCTTGGGTTCAGTCTTTATAAAAACCAACCAACACTACAAGTTACTACCTAAATGGTAACGCTTTACTTGAAGGGGTGTGCATAAGACTGACATGACATCTTCATAATCATGACATGACACGTTTTATGCATGTTTATGACAACTGTCATAAAGTGTCATTCGCTCAATTATGACATTTTTACTGCAATTATGACATTGTTTGAGATGTCTTTGTTATGACAACTTGACATAAACCAATACATCATAACCTGTCAGTGTTTTTGTCATGACAACTTGACATTGCTAAGACAACACAAGAGGTCATAAATATGTCATAAACATGACATAGCAGATGAATTATCAAACTTAAGAAACTACTTAGCTTTATGGGTTAACATTACATTAAACTGTCAGGTGGTTGGTTTTGACATTGGCTGTCAAGAGGCCATTATAACTGTGTCATAAATATTTTTCTTGACCTCAACTACAGTGGTACAAATTGAATTTGTCATTAAAATATAATGGCCTCATGACAGCCAATGCCAAATGACAGTTTAATGTAATGTTAACCCATAAAGCTAAGTAGTTTCTTAAGTTTGATAATTAATCTGCTATGCCATGTTTATGACATATTTATGACAGGTTGTGTTGTCTTAGTAATGTCAAGTTGTCATGACAAAGACAATGACAGGTTATGATGTATTGGTTTATGTCAAGGTGTCATAACAAAAACAATGTCATATTTGCATTAAAATGCCATAATTGAGCGAATGACACTTAATGACAGCTGTCATAAACATGCATAAAGCCTCCTTCATATTCATGACAAGTGTCATGTCATGATTATGAAGGTGTTGTTATGTCAGTCTTATGCACACCCCTTCAAGTAAAGTGTTACCCTTTGTTCTGGGAGAGAACTCCCTGCGCATCCATGTAGTCTAGCATTGATGAGAGCAGGGAGAGCAGCAATAACCCCCCTTAGGGTAAGGGAACAGAACCAACATGACTGTATGCAGATATCATTAATTCAAGATTTTAAAGTACAACATAATTTGAGAATTTATTCTGATTCAAGGGCACTCAGAATGCCTAATCCTGACTGGGTGAGAGGAGGAGCTGGGGATGGAGAAACGCTATAGCTGCTGATAATACTGAAGGAGCTTATATATGTATACAGTGATAGGCGTCGTATTCCTATAGGTAGACGTGGATCAGCTGAGAGTCAGCTGACGCGAGCTTGACTAACGTGACCCGCCAGAACTGACGCTACGCTTGATGTTTAAAATGAAGAGATTTTTGATGTCTTAAATACTGTTGTCATGGCAACACATTAAAGGAGTTAATACTTTTTTATTATTTAAATATGTTCCTTGAGGTTCACTCATAATAATACAACATTTTTCTACGTTTAGTTCTTTATCAATAAAACACGTTTAAAACAGACCCAAGACTAACCAACGTGTTAGGGATGAAATTATGTCTCATAATGATTAACAAATGCATGCACGATTATCCATGAACTTGATTAATGTTGCAGATATGTTTTATTATCCACAACCAAAAGCCTTCCAACTTGCATGTTCAAAATTTAGTAACGCGCATTTGTGAAATAGATGGGTAGTTTTGCACACATTAATAATCTGCAGCAGGCGTATTCATTGTTAGTTGTTTGTGTGTGGATTGTGAAATGCTTAAAAAAACTGCAAAATGAAAAAAAACGTCTCAAAATCCAAATGAATAAAGTGAGATTGACTCAGAAAAGACGTCAATGCACGCGGTCACCTGATCCACAAATGCACTTCTTCTTTGTTGCATGCGCAAATTATGATACACTAATACAAAAGAAAACATTTGTATTTATTAAAATGTCTCTATTTGTGCAAACTGCTGCATATTCATTTCATTCTGAATTTTGCACATGCAAGTTAAAAGGCATTTGGTTGTGGACAGTAAAACATATCTGCAACGTTTATCAAGTTCATGGATAATTGTGCATGCATTCGTTAATCATCATTATGAGTCTAATTTCATCCCATAAAAGTGCTGTACGGGAGCATGACAATCACAGATGCAAATAAAAAAATATAAAGCATTACAAAGAACAACATTAGCATGAGTTTTCAAAAGAGATTTACAAACCGACAAGGAGATACTCAAGTTGTACTGACAAGCTAGTCCACAATCTGGACCCACCACCGAAAAAGCTCTATCTATCCCCTCAGCGTTTCAGCCTCTAGCAAGGGACTGTAAGTTAGTTTTGATCACCAGATCTTAAAACTTCTCGAAGGACTGTAGTTCAGACAAAGAGATAAATAGGAGCTATATTATGTGAGTATTTATACACAAATAGGAGAATTTCAAAATCAATCCTAAATTGAACTGGCAACCAATGTAGAGCTCACAGAATGGGAGTGGATAACTGTTTGTTTTTTCAGACACAAAGTGTTTAATTTTAGAAAGTAGGCAAAGCTGAAAAAACTAGAGGTAACAACAGAGAAATTGTGTTTAATGTTAACCGACTATCCAAGAAAACACCAAAGTTCTGTAAGTTCATTGGGAATTAAAAACAGAAAGATTTCACAGGTCGATGTTATTGACCTCAGATTTGTCGGATAAGCCAAAAACTATAACCTCGGCCTTGGATTCATTTAAAGATAGAAAATTACTAGCTAACCAGAGCTTTACCTCATCCAGACGCACTAACAAAGGTAGTAATGCCGAGAACGAGTCGTAGTTTATTTTTAAGCAGATAAACCTGAGTGTCATCCGCATAGAAGTGGAAAGATCAATAGAATTGAACCCAAGGGAAGCATGTAAAGAGAGAAGAGTGATGGTGCCAAACCAGAGCCCTGGGGGGAGTCCAGAGTTAAGGAGAGCAGCAGACGAGGTCAAAATGCCTATCCTGACAGAAAAATATCTGTCTGATAAATAAGATTCAAACCAGTTAAGAACGAAACCTTATCGCCCCACATAGGATTCTAATCTAGATAAAAGTAACGTTCAATCAACAGTCAAATCTAAAAGAACTAGAACCACAGAATCACCAGCGTTAGTAACCAATAAAGTATCATTGAGTACTCACAGATTGATTGTTGTTTAAAAATGACTGAAGTTGACACAACTTAACTTTTTTCCAATATCTTAGAAAGGAATGACAAATTAATTAAACAGATGTGCCTAGAGAAGGCTTCTTGAGTAGAGGAGTAACAGTGCCCAATTTTAAGCAGGCATGAACAGAACCAGTTAGTAAACATTTGGAAAGGAATTCAGACCTGGGCCAACAGACTCTATTAACGATTTAAAATACTGAGGGTGCGTCACATCATGAGGGCAGAAAGAGGGTTTAAGGGTGGGAATTATTTCTTTAAAGCTGCAGTCCGTATCTTTTCCTCTTTGTCGCCATCTCTCTGTTCGAAATCTGTAACTGCAGTGATTCGCGGAATTATCATCTTTACGTGGGTTGTAAATCGGCATGAAACAGCGCGGATGAACACAGTGCTTTGAGGCGAGTGCTGCTGTCAGTTAGCCTAGAAATGTAGACGCACCCTAGCGGCAGCAAAAATTATTTTGCAGCAAAGTGTGGTCTAGCAACTCTCCATAGACTTTTGAGCTAGAAAAACCAAAAACTGGTCCGGCCAATTACATCGTGTATAGAGTCGGCGGGCAGGCTTAACATAATGACGACAGAGTTGTGACGGTTCCGCATGATTCACTGGTTCACTGGTGGAAAAACGCATGGGACTCACTCAGCCACAGCCGTTCGTTGCTCTGGTTGGATGTAGCGCTATCCTATTGCGTGCCGAGGGATATTGAAAGACAACCGTTTATCCCGCCCCTCGGATTGAGGTATGCCAATTGTGAGTTCCCAGACCTAACATCTTGATGTAGGTCTGGCTTGCCAGGCTAGCTGTCAGTCACCGCGCTGTGTGGATACTGTCATACAGAATCACAGATTCACTTTTTGAAAGTTTGACCAACATAAGAATTTTTATAAGAAAATGTCTTCTGAACAAGTAAGTAAAATCCATTTTTGTTCTGACCAACTAAGGGGGGAAAAGTATTCGACATGATAAGCTTCGTTAGATTTAATCAACGCGATTTACAGCAACCGTGCAAATTATAGCCTACTTTGTTCTCAAATTGTTCATGTTAACAACATCAGCATTGCGTGACTAATGTTAAATTTAATGTGTTTTATGGTTAGCAGCTACCTGCGTAGTTCAGAATTCATATTCTCCATAATAGCAAAACGAGAAAGGCACAACAAAGGAAACTCCATAACTGTGTGAATTAAGAAAACGTACTGTTACACGATTGAACTATTGAAATGTCTTACTTGTTCAGCAGAAAAAAGCCGTCTCTTCTTCCGTTTTGAACCCCTTCAAAACACGGAGTTCACGCACTTTTCAAAAGCCCCGCCGATGTTTAAATCCTTGTGTTCGCATGAGACGGTTTCTTTCTCTTTCTCTAGCCACCTTAAATCCGAAGTACGAAGTCTTTTGGGTTTTATAACTGCTAAATCTCCAGTTGACACTGATGATTGTTGTTTGGATCTTTCTGGATGCCATAAGTTTAATTATGTAAAGTGCTGCGAGAAAAGCCTATACATCTAAACATCTCGTCACGCGCAGTATAGCCGGCTAGCCGAAACTCCTTCTTTATGTGTACGGGTGTGACGTCATGACGCAAAGACATGCTCGAATTTCCCGCGGAAACACACCAGTACCACTGGAATTAAAATCATTATTACAAGCTAACCGTTTTGAATCTAGCTATGGCAAGTAGATAGTTTTGACCACTGGCAGAATAAGTTTTTTTTAATATAATTATTTTGGATTATTTTTAATTTAAAAAAGTTACGGACTGGAGCTTTAAGGGATTGTAGGGAAATGGGATTAAAAACCTCCCAGGAGACTTTAAGATCAGAAATAGAAAACCTATGGGTGAGTGTCTATGGATATAGACGGAGGATCCTTTCCTTTGCCAACATGAGTCCTTTGGGTTTTGTACACAAAAAAGTTACATATTCTTAATAAATAATTATTTGCAACTTTCATATTGACCCTCAATGCTATACTATCAATGCCATCCACTATTGTATGCGAGTTGAGTAAGTGTTTTGAAAACTTTATTCATAAATGCTTATTTACAGACAAAGCATTAAGTAATGACTCACGCTTTGTGATGTGACTGCTATCGAATGGTTTGCTGCTTCATCTTTCATCAAAAGTTTAGGCTACGTTCACACTGCGAGGTTTAGTGCTCAATTCCGATTTATTGCCCATATCTGATTTTTTAACATAGCTGTTCACATTGTTGTTTTAAATGTGGTCAATATCAGATTCCAGTGTGAACAGAACAGTCCTGGACTGACCCGCACGAGCAAAAGAACAATAAAAGACGTCACGCAGCACACTGCATACGCAAGTAAACATGGAGGTCGGAGGTTATTAAAGTAAGGAATTACGAATTTATTTGTAGTGCAAAACATCTGATCTGTATCGGATTTAGGACCACATATGGGAGTGGCCCATCTCAGTATTTAAAAGATCAGATTCCATGTGGTTTGTACTGTTCACAAAAACAGACACGAGTCACATATGAGGATTTTGGGCCACATTTACCTGCATTCTGAACATAGCCTATGTAAACCCTGCATGACATTGTACCTCGTTTAGAAAACAATCCACAGTGAAATGCTCCAAACAAGCATATAATCATCAGACGCAATCCAGGACATCAGTAAAAATATACCATCCACTCGTTCCTAGTAATGGGGTCCTTTGGAAGTCTGTACCGAGACGCAAACAAGCTGTCTGAACTGAATGGATCAAAATGAACAATCCAAAATATGACTTCCTTTCCTCAGGAAAGCTCAAGCACGACGAGTCCATCAGAACTAATTCCAATTGAATAAAATGAGATCGACAGCACAACAGGATAAAGGTTGTTTATACAATTATGAAGTTTTAGGTCTTTTGGAATTTACAATTCTCATCTTTAAAATATGCTATTTAGGGTTAACAAGCCATTGACTGACCATGTGGCATATCCAAAACAATGAACTTCATTCAATACCATTCATTCATTCTCTCTTCCAAAATATTGTTTGCTGCTGTTGTAGCTGTGTTTTTAGGTGTGAGTGGGTATGTAGGTTACTGTTTATGTATTGGGGGGGGGGTCTATAAAAAATTTAAGAAAAAAGTAAGATACAAATGTAAAATTATTATATAAAATTATATTATAAATTTACAATTAATAGGGTTTATTGTAATTTTTGATATATTCTGTTTCCATGTCAACACATTAAACATTATTATGGTGTTTATGTTTATTTATGTCTTTTTCGGGTGCTTGGCATGCTTCATTTTCATGATCTTTTGCACTCACGTAGTGCCCCCCTTGAATGCAGTCAAAAACTTGAATGCATTTATCATACATACTTGCACTCATTTAGCTCACTCATACTTTCTCATTTAGCCGAACACTGAATTCTCATTGGGATCTGTAGCACCCTCTTTTGACTAAAGTGGTGGGGTTAGTCTTACCAAACTCTGTACTTGTACTCTGTACTTTTAAACTATCTGAATTACAGTCATTAGCTCCAACCAACAGGAAGTCAGCTATTTTGGATTTAATGTGCAATTGTTTGAAAAATTGCAGGTTCTGAATTTTTAAATACTGCTCCTAGAGGATTCATGCGATACACACCAAACTTTGTCAACATGATACAAAGACATTGGCTCTTTCTCAATTCCAAAAAGCAAAGAACGGAGTCGAGGAGACCGGTCTTGACAGGCGACCTTGAAAGAACGAACCTGGAAGGACGCAAGGACACAGAACGCATCTTTGTGAGAAATGAGAACATGTTTACTAATGCCGAGTTCACACTGCACGATTTTCGAAGTAGTCGGTTCACTGTTCTTTTCACACTGCACGACTATCTGGGGTAGCATTCAGTTGCTGCTGTGTGCACACTGCATGATGGATCAGCAACAAGAGGTTTCACACTGCATGGCTTTACAAAAGAAAGAATCCCCGACATTAACTTCAGTCTGGTCCGCAAACTACATTTCACAACCAAACGCATGCGAGAAGTGATAAGGAAATAGCGCAAGATCACGCGTGCGTAAGACCGGAGTTCTCATGCAAGACTGTAATTGTTATTAAAAATTATAGCCTGCTTCGATTGCGATCCAAATTGTCCGTGCGCTGATTTGCAGCGAAAAGGAGAAACAGATTATGCCGGAGGAAATGGTTGGGGAGATGCAGGGAGTAAGGACTGTTTGTTCTGCAAAGAGAGTTGGGGGTGAATAAATAATTTTGCAATGTGCTGCTGGTCAAGCAAATGTTTGTGCTTTGTTTCTGTTTGATATAATTGTAAATATATCTATTAAAATACTGATATTCTGATCTAGAACTCCTCCTCAAACATCCCGCTGCCCTGTATCTTGCTCTCTCATTGGCTGTAGGTCATCGCTGATGTAGGTTTTCAGTCAGAACACATTCACACATCAGGATTTTGAATCAGTGATTCTCTCAGATTGCGTCTTTGATCATTCACACTGTGTGATTGTCACTCATGTGAACGAGCACCGATTTGCCTATGATTTCGGGCATTTGTCGGCGATCTCGCAAAACTTGTTGGCGAGCGAAAATCGGGCCTAAAATCGTTCAGTGTGAACGATTGCATAACTGGTTCTGTTCCTGCATGCCTGAAAGTGGCCACTGTTACTCCTCTACTCAAGATGCCTTCTTTAGACACATCTGTTTTAAACAATTATCTTCCAATCTCTGTGGTTCCCTTTATCTCCAAGGTACTGGAAAAAGTTGTGTTGTGCCAACTTCAGTCATTTTTAAATAAGAAGGTTTTAAGCCTTTTCAGTTTCACAGCACTGAATCTGCTCTGTTGGGAGTCTTAATAAATGATATTTTTGTTGCTACTGATGTTGGTGACTGTGATTTTAGTTCTCTTAAACGTATCTGCAGCCTTCGATACTGTCGATCACACATTGCTCCAATCTAGACTAGAATCTCATGTGGGGCTTAAAAGATTCAGTTCTTAATTGGTTTAAATCTTATCTATCTGAGAGATATTTCTGTGTCAAGATTTGCAATTTTGCCTCTGCTGCCGAGGTTATAGTTTCTGGTTCATCCGACAAATTTGAGTTTAATAATACTTTAATAATAACAATATGTCTGTTTTTTATTCTAATTGTGTACGTAACCTTGGTGTTTTCCTAGATAGCCGGTTAACATTAGACAAACGTGTGTCCACTGACAAGTCTCTTGAGATAGCCATTCGCATTTTTATAACCTCGCGTTTGGATTATTGCAATTCTCTGTTCTATGGTATTTCTAAGTCCCAGGTAGCTCGACTTCAACTGGTTCAAGATGCTGCAGCCAAATTTCTCAAGAATAGTCGCAAATATGATCATGCCACTCCCATTTTGCAAGCTTTCCACTGGCTTCCAGTCCAATTTAGGATCAACTTTAAAATTCTTCTATTTGTGTATAAATGCTTACATAACCTTACTCCTAACTACCTGTCTGCTCTATTGTGTCCCTACAACCCTCCCAGAAGTTTAAGACCTGGTAACCTTAACTTACTTACAGTCCCTTGCACAAGACTAAAACGTAGAGGAGATAGAGCCTTTTCGGTGGTGGGGCCTAGATTGAGCAATAGCTTGCCAGTGCAACTTAGAGCAGCATCTTCTTCATCAGTTTTTAAATCTCTTCTTAAAACTCATTTGTTTTCCTTGGCTTTTATATATGTTAATTGTCGCTCCTTTTTATGTTTTAATCTTCTGTATTTCTTTACTTTACTCATGTACAGCACTTTGGTCAGTCTTGAGGCTGTTTTAAATGTGATTTATAATAAATAAATAACCTTAACCTGTAACAAGTGGTTCCCTACATTATTGCAGGACGTTTGCAGGTCAAGAAGTTTCATGAACGCAAACATTCGAACACCCTGAAAGCTGCCTCGAATTTAATTCCCTTTCACGTCTTCCGCTTGAACAGACAAATTCACACAAAATTATGTAAAACGTCCATCTTGGCAAGTATCCTGGTAAACATAGTCGGTTATATCTTAATGAACATAAACAAAGAAAACTCGATGAAATAAAATAAACCATGTGAGCTGACATTCTCTTGATTAGTGCTTATGTGAAACAATTCTGATGAAATGTAAAATATATATTTTTAAAATTACAATAATCGTGATTATAATTTGAGCAAAATAATAATATCAGTTTAACCATTATTATGCAGTCCTATTGCATAAATCCAGCCTGCCAAAATGTTCATAAGCAATGATCTAACTTATTTTGTTATTGCATCAAGACTGGAAAAATGTGTTAGAGATACTTACGTTACTCCTGGATGAAGGTTGTATTTCCTTTTCCCAAGCCTAGTTTGTTGCGCAAAGAAATCATACCGCTCCGACTTCTTCCACATGTAATAAAAAGCCACACAATCTCCGACAGACCGAGTTCTGACCTGAAATTGGATAAGGTTTGCTAAACACAAGGTTTGAATTGCCACATCTAGTGGCCCATATACGTATTTAGCAGAGATAACGGCTAGACACATTTAAGAGCCTCACAGGGTTTTTTTTTGTTTGTTTTTTAACATTTATAAGCATTGAAATGTCAATACGGGAATGTGAAGGTGGCCAATATGGATTGACATTCCTCAAGTGCAAATGAATTGATTTGCCAATTGGAATAAACTTGCCATAAAATGAGCACTACCTTGTTGGCCTGGATAAAATGAAAGTCTTTTCCGTAAGCTTTTAATCCTTGTTCAAAATTCCTGCATTCTTCCTCTGACCAAACAGATAGTTCCTCTGTAAGAAAGATTTAAACAAAGCAATACATGTAAGATAAAGACTGTCAATGGATTAAACCTTTAATTGTGAATTGTGTTGGTTTTTTTTTTGTATGGAACATATTCAGTTTCTTTTCAAAGAAAATACATACTTTATACTTATATACAATTTGTGTGCATTTCAAAATTCTGATCAGAATTAATCAATTAAAATAAAATTGAACAAATGTTACCAACATTTTAAAAAAATTACAGCTTATACATATTGAATTTTTTGCATGACAGTCCTTGTAACTGCACACTCCTCGTACGCCTTAATTCTATCAGTGATCTTTCAACAGATATCCACATAAATCAAGTTTATACTACTAATAAAAACACAAACGCAAGCTTTATGTGTGCGCTTGAGCTCGGAATAGGCATATATTTCGCCCCCCGCATATTTAAGCAATTAAATTAATATAAACGTGAGATTAGTCGACAAATGGATTAAATGAACGACTACTAGTTGACTAGAAAAATCTTTAGTTGGGGGCAGTCCTAGTTAAATCTGATTCTGTTGCATAGAACTGAATAAAGAATAATATATTTACAGTTTGTTATTAACCTATTGATATTTAGTATTATTTTAATATATTTTCTTTCTAATTTTGGTCTATTACTTAAAAATAAAAAAGTTATTTTATTTCATTCACTTGTATTTTTTAAATTCATATTTAGTAAAAATTATTGAATTTAATTATTTTTTAAATTAAAAGTCTAATAACAATACAATTATACAAAAAACTAATTTAAAATAAGAAATTAATCATTATTTTTAAAAAGGTAATTTCAAATATATTTTCTGTCCAATTTTGTTGTTACTTTAAATAAAAGTGTGGTTATTTTATTTCATTGGGTTGTATTTTTTAAATTTAGATTCAGTAAAATGATTGAATTTAATTCTTATTTTTTTATTTAAAGTCTAATAATAATAATACAATTATACAAAAAAGTAATTTAAAATGAGAAATTAATAATTATTTTTAAAAAGGTCATTTTCAGCTTCAGTTTTTGGCCAAGTGCATCCAAAATTTTCGGTTTCGGTGCATCCCTACCAGAAATCATTTTCTAGAGCCACAGCGGTTAAGCAGCAGAAACACTGTCAGTGTGAAAGGAAAGCACAAATCCAGTCTGTTGAAACGCAGAACGTTTTGTACTGCCTCAAACATCAGATGAAAGACGATGATGGCATTTAACAGCTTTGTAAGGCTCACCTCTGGCTGCTTTAACGTTAAATCTTAATCTTCGTAAAGCTTCATCTGTATCAAAATTACATTTCACCAGCTCATATAATGCCTGAGGAGAGAAAACACTATTTGTATTGTGTATCACGTCACATTTCAGCATTTGATTACAATAAAATAATTACATTATTATCATTATTATATTATTATTAAATCACAGAGGCAGTCCTTAGTACCTGCTCATTATCTTTGATGTGGGATCCTTCTGGAATAGCATCTACACCCGTCTCCTCTCCCGTCCGTCGACAGGCTTCAGTAAGAAACTCAACCACAGTGTTTTCAGGAAGGATTTCAGGATTCCACAGCAGCTGGTCGTCATTTTCATACACTGTGAATGATAAAGATGTCAAAGATTCAAAGCATATCACAAGAATGCGTAACATATTGATGTCTCCATCTCCAAAAATGCTAACCATTTCCAATTGTCTTGTAATAAAAAGAATTCAAAAAAAGAGTTAAAAAATGACATCATACTATGACTGGTTCAGTGAACATTTTATCAGTGAACATTTTTATACCATGGTCTGTCTGAATAATTGATTCTGATTGGCTTGAAGCTGTGCATTAAAATAAGAAAACAACCATAATTTGAATCCTTCCAGTCAAATTCAGTGATGCAAACATCAATGACAGCTTTAACTTGTCAATGGAAATTGAAAATGACCATGGTATAAGAGGCATAATCCACGCCTAGCTGTGCTTTAAAGGGATACTCCACCGTTTTTTCATATTAAACTATGTTTTTCCCTTAACTAAGACGAGTTGATACATACCTCTCTCGTCTCAGTGCGTGCACTCAATCGCTCTGGCACGCGAGACACTTTGATAGCACTTAACTTAGCCCAGTTCATTCATTAGGATTAGGGTTGCCACCTTTGATTTGTGAAAAACCGGGACACTTTGAGGGGGAGGGGTCAACCAGGGGCGTTTCCAGCTTTGAAGGACATCAAAAAAGAGAACAATCCCGGGAAAACCGGGACGGGTGGCAACCCTAATTAGGATCCAACCAGAGAAGTGACCAAACACCTCCACGTTTTCCCTATTTAAATACAGTTACACGAGTAGTGTAACTCGACCAAGAATGGTGACACAAAATAAAACGTTGCGCTTTTCTAAGCGTGTAAAGTGGATAACTATAATGTATGGCGGAATACCACAGCAAGTGCTTGGGAGCACTTCGACTCGGCGCAGTAATATCATCACTCGTGAAAAGTCATCTCCCCCCCTCTCCCTCTCCGGAGTGATGATATACTGCGCTGAGTCCATAGATATATATATGCGCCGAGTCAAAGTGCTCCCAAGCACTTGCTATGGTATTCCGCCATACATTATAGTTATCCACTTTACACGCTTAGAAAAGCGCAACGTTTTATTTTGTGTCACCATTCTTGGTCGAGTTAAACTACTCGTGTAACTGTATTTAAATAGGGAAAACGTGGAGGTGTTTGGTCGCTTCTCTGTTTGGATCCTAATGAATGAACTGGGCTAAGCTAAGTGCTAACAAAGTGTCTCGCTCGCGCGCCAGAGCGATTGAGTGCACGCACTGAGACGAGAGAGGTATGAATCAACTCGTCTTAGTTAAGGGAATAACAGTTTAATATGAAAAACGGTGGAGTATCCCTTTAAATGATCTGAATACACTCTGCTTTGCACGGTTCTTTGCCTCCACATTGTTGTCAATGTTTCCTACAGGATTCGGTCAATATTCGGTCCCAACTATTTTTAACCAATTTAATTTTTTTTTTTATATATAATTTAAAAAGCAAACATTTGCATAACATGTAACTGCACGTTGTCGTGTGAATAAGTCACACATAACAGTTCACATTCTTTTGGAGCAATGATTTTCAATAGACTGATTCACACTGACAACTCCTGAAACGTTTCTTTTGTTGTGGTGCAGTACTGTATAATCCTGCCAAACCCATTTTTAATTTTAATAGATCAGCATATGTCAAATCTACCTTTCTCACAGTCTTTGTATTTGCACAGTCCAGATGGTGTTTCTGCCTGATACATGGAACCAACCATGATTTCCTGTTAAGAACATATACATTAATCAAACATTTCATGGTACATTACAGACAAAAGCCATAAAGAAAAATATGATAATGAAAGTATTTACTTTCTTCCAGTCTTCAGATGGAATATAGTCATCATCCTCCTCTGACTCTTCATCACCTTCATTATCTAAAAACGTTACGTGAAAACAGTACTTAAGCATAAATCAAAGATTATGCTGATAAACATCAAATCAAATGAGGAGCTTATCTGTCTCTTACTCTGAAAGTAGCCACGGTTCTGTGATCGTATGAGTTCAGCTGTGTTACAGGCTTTTACTGCACAAGCTCGACTCTCAGCGGAGTGGCTCTCATTCGTCATTCTTGTGGATACATTTGCTCCATCCTCCTGAAAAAAACATTAAAACCGTAAAAGAGAAATGAACTAAAAATTTCGACAAATTCTAAATGCTATCCATAATTTTGACAGATATTTAAAAAAAAATCTGGTCTATTGAGCGTCCTTACTTTAGAAATGTCCAGTGAAGGATAGGTATGGCTTTATAACACTTTTCATGTTAGATACCGATACCGATACCGTAGCCTTGATTAGCTGCTGATACCGATACACCAGTACTGGTTTATTTTTCTTGATCAGTTTAGATACTACACTCTGCTTCATTGTTAATGACGAGAAAACAGAAAAATAAATAGGATAACTATTTAGAATAAAATAAATAGGATAACTATTTTAGAACACCAAGAATGATATCTATAAAAATAACTATAATGATAAATACATTAGTGTCCACACCAACTCACAATAACGTTTTGTTTATTCTTAATTGTGCACAGATTTCCATTACACGAGAGTAGATGTTAAAACTTCCTGCTGATTTGTACTCTGCTTTCGCCAAGATAAGCAACACTAAGACGTAGCTTTACAGTAAACTATGCTTCTCCATCCATTTACGCTTCTTTCCACGTGGTGGTGTGACTCCCCTTCTGTCCGGCGCTAACGGCTGCAGTGTACTTGGCGCGTCAGCACACACGATGGCTGCAACTACAGTGTGGTCTCCCTAGTGGACCAGCACGACAACCGTCTGGATTGAGCCGAGTAGGGGACATCTCTAGGGTCTTCAAGTGGGCACCTTCCCTCCTCAGTGTTTCGTCGACTAGCCCACGACACCTCAAGAGGGCTCGACAGTGACTCTGGCGTCCCAGAGTCACCCCCCTCCGTCCCCCACTTAACTCAGCCCAGCTTACTGACCTTTACATCCCTCCTGCTGCTGAGACCTAACCACAATCTCACAATCTCTCCGCAACCCGACCATACGCGCCAACCCGTTTGACTAAGGCTGTCGAGCCCCACTGGTGCGTTAATATGCAGTTTCAGTGGCAACGGTTCCGTATGGCATACCACCTACCGCAAAAACACAATATCTGCCCAACCACCCGTCATTCACGCAATATCCACAGGAACGTAATGACTGTAAATACTATACAACCTATCCAAGTAAACCAACAGACTCTTCAAGTTTTCAACAATTCTATGAAACCGTAGCGTGGCGGCCTGTACACAGCCAGCCAGAATCTTTCCGTCTCAACCACAGCCAGTTGCTGCTCCTCTCTGCTGCTTCAGATAAGTTCTTTACTGTGCGACACAACTCTTGGCCACTGAATCCAACGTCTCTGAGGAACCGGGTTGTAGAGTGTGCCACAAAACCTAGACAACCCACTTCCACTGGATAAACCTGGACTCTCCATCCTCGCTGTTCTGCTTCAGTGGCCAGCTGAGCATACCGCAGTTTCTTCCTCTCATATGCCTCATCTACCGCATCCTCCCATGGCACTGTTAACTCTATCAGTTGAACAATGCGTGCTGATCCGGACCACAAAACAATATCTGGTCGTAGGTTAGCAGTTATATAATAACTTTACATGCTTGAGCTCAAGGTAGATTCAAATTTTTATAGTTGTTTTTGTATTGTACGTACACGCACTACCAGTGTTCGCAGTGAATGTTTGCTTTATTTATGAAGAAACGCCCCAACACTGAACCGCTTTTTAAGAAGCAGTATATACAGAAGAAGATGACAAATGCACTGCAGCAGATTTGTGTTCATTTTCATGAAACGTTTTGATGCCTGTAGCTAGTCCAAAATGCGGCAGCCAAGCTTTTAACCAGGTCAAGAACGAGTGACCACATTAACCCCAGTAATGGTGTCTCTACAAAAGATAAACTGTGAAGTTTACAGTTGATTGTAAAATGATTTTTTTTGTTTACAAGGCCCGAACATTTTCTTGACCTTCTTCACCCTTAATCTACCGTCAGAGTGCTCAGGTCATGTGCTCAGTTACTGCTGAGTATTTCCCGCTGCCTAAGATATTTCTGCGCTTGGCCCTAAACTCTTCAAATGTCTTCCTTACCATGTGAAATCAGCATCATCAATAGTCCTTTTTTTTTTATCTTACAATATGCTAAAATATAATAGTTTGCACTTAAAGGGTTAGTTCACCCAAAAAGTTTAATTCTGTCATTAATTACTCACCCTCGTATCGTTCCAAACACGTAAGACCTTCCTTCATCTTCAGAACACATATTAATATATTTTTGATGAAATCTGAGAGCTTTCTGTCCCTCCACTGACAGCAACGTCATTGCAAATTTCAAGGCCCAGAAAGGTAGTAAAACATCGTTAAAATAGTCCATGTGACTACAGTAGTTCGACCTAAATGTTCGACCTTTTTGTGCGCAAAACCCCCCCCAAAATAACGACTTTATTCAACAATCTTTTCTCTTGCAAGTCATTCTCCTACGCTGTTGACGTAGTGTAAACAGTGCAGCGCTTCTGGGTTCTACGTCAGACCGTCAGCTCATTATTGGCCAGCATCACACACATGACCAGAATCGGCCAATAGTGAGCCTACGTTCTGACGTAGAACCCAGAAGCGCTGCACTGTTTACACTACGTCAACAGTGTAAGGAGAATGACGTGGAAGAGAAGAGATTGTTGAATAATGTCGTTATTTTGGGGGGGGGGTTTGCGCACAAAAAGTATTCTCGTTGCTTCATAATATTAAGGTTGAACCGTAGTCACATGGACTATTTTAATGATGTTTTTACTACCTTTCTGGACCTTGAAAGTTGCAATGACGTAGCTGTCAATGGAGGGACAGAAAGCTCTCAGATTTCATTGAAAATATCTTCATTTGTGTTCTGAAGATGAACGAAGGTCTTAGGGTTTGGAACGACATGAGGGTGAGTAATTAATGACAGAATTTAAATGTTTGGGTGAACTTACCCTTTAAGGTCAACTTCTGTTCTTGTAAATGTGCTAAATAAATAAAGGTTGACTATGTCCATTTTTAAGGCCTGTTTCCACTTGTTCATGCCTTTTCTCTGATCCGATAGCTATCCAATTGAACACCAGGTGTAAATGCCAGGTGTAAAAGACTGGACCAGTTTAAATGCATCTGGTTGTTAAAGCCACATAAGTAAGTTTTACTCCTTCCAAAATAGTAATAATAAAAACGTGAGCGTGTCATAGGCTACCGGGCTCCTGGTAGCCAGATATAACAGGCTACTGCAACAAACATGGCATCCGCCACAGGTGAGTAGCTGAGCATCTCTTCAGCAAGCCGACACACAAACTGCCGCAAATGAAACTGAAAGTTTGCCGTTGCATCCTGAAGCTAAACACACAGTGATCTTCATTAAAAGTAGTGAGACTAAATTATTGTACCAGTGCTATAATTTAGTGCCGCTCTCTATCCTATTGTGGCCTTTTATCTTGTAACTAGCTGATGATAAATAAAATGCAGCGCATATCTGTTGCTTTCGTCGAGGTGAACTGTTAAATTTGCATATAGTGCGGGGATTGAAGATCAGATTTATATTCATTTTGCAGAAACGTTAATGTGGCTAAGTGTAAACGGAACTGTTTTAACAAATCAGATGGGAATCCAATCAGTTAAAGCACATGAAGTAACCAGGTGTGTGAGCAGGCCCTTAGAGATCAGACTTACAAATAGTAATTTCAGCCCAACTTTAACCATTTAAGTTTTTAACTTCTATGACATTTTCAGACTTCGTGTTTTCCAGGGCTGTGAGAACCCAGTTATAAATCCATGTGGGAACCAATTTTAAGTTCTGGTTGTTTTTGCAGTGTATGCATCCTGAGCTCAACAACAATATTATAATATTACTTAATACTCACATTTAAGTGATATGAATAATTGGGCATAGGTTTCTTATGGGACAGACCTTGCTCTTCTTCAGTTCCCCAGTGCTTCTGCTGCTTTCATCATTATCCATATCCTCTCCTTCATCATCATCATCCTCCTCCTCATCTCCATCCGCATCCTCTTCCTCATATTCCTCATCCTCTTCCTCAGGTGATCCACTGCCTGCATAACCATAAAGGCTCAGGAGCTCCTGAATGGGCATTTCTCCCTCCTGCAGTTCACAGAAATCAAGTTCACAGAATGATCACCTTTATTTATATAGCACTTTATGCAATACAGTTTCAAATCAGTTTCACAGAAATTAATTGTAAAATAACGATCAATGATGCAAGCTTCATCAAACGCGGGACAAATTCTGAAGTAAAGCAACATTAGCATCATTGAGTTCAATGTTGATTCAGTTCAGTTCAATAACTGTGTAAAGTTCATCAGTTGCTAAAAGAGTTCAGCTATAATCAGCTCTACAGAAAAACAATACTATCGTTATTCAGCTCAATTCAATGTTGATTCAATTCAGTTTGTAACATTTAAACTCAAAATTAAAACGAGATCACAATGTCCGTGTATGGGACATTGTGTATGTGAGTGTATGTGAGTGGAGGTAGTGCTTTGGGGTCTGGCATACAGTCTTGGGCTGCCAAGTCATATGGATCTGTTTTGTTTATGGTTTTTAATTAAGGATGAAACAATTACCGGTTTGATAAACCACGATAAAATGACATTAAAACGGTGTTTGATTATCGCGATCTTGAAAACTCATGGTAAATCCTGTCCAGCCAGCGCCAGTCTGGCACAGCCGCTGCATGCAACGTTGTTTTTTGACAGTCTTTTCAGTCTTCTTAGAGGACCAAATCTGAATTTGGACAAATAAAGGAACTGTTAATATATATATATATATTAACAGCAATATATATATAAAGGAAGTAAACACTGTAACCAACGGAAACGCTCAGTAATCAGGTTAAATTCGTGCGCACTGGAAATCATATTTTTTAAAACAAAGACAAGGTAACAATAATTTTACATAGACCACACAATGAAAATTACATGAATATGACAGTGGGCAACTGGATATAACGCAGCATAATTTGAATTTTTGAAGTTTGTCGATCGTGTGTCTCCAGGGAAGCTGAACTATCCTGTCTGCATCCGATTCACACAGAGTGATCGTTATGCACAGAGTAACAGACCATTCAATGCAGGCTACTCATGCACACCTCAGAAAATCTTACAGCTGGAATCAACTAAGTCTGCAAGGTTTGTGAAATTAAATGTTTATCAGATAATCAAAGAATGGTTTAAATTATATAAATGGGTATTTGCTAAATGTTGACAGTAAATGAGAAAGTATTAGTGTTTGCCGTCCTACTACTATTGGAATAAAAGCAAACCCTATAATGCTTTTTCGTATACCGTTTATCTAGTAACATATTAGACCAAACTGGTAAACGGAGACAGAAAACGAATGATGACAGAGAATGGGAGCGCTGTGTGCTCAGGAGCTGACGTTCTCAGCTCTGTCCCAGCTTCTGACACAACTGCCAAACAGAAAAACTTGTCGGCCTTGGCAAACTCTAACCCATGAGGAAAAAATCATCGGCGAAAACACCGATAAGACAGCGAAACTCAAAAGGTCTTCACGACAGCCCATCAAAATAAAAGTTTGGTTTCGTTTGAAGAAATTATGGCCTGGTTTCACAGACTTAGATTAAGCCAGGATTAGGCCTTAGTTTAATTAGGGCATTTAAGTAGCTTTTATACACCTGCCTTAGAAAAACCTGCCTAGTACATCTTGAGACAAAACAATGGCATTGACAAATTTAAAGATATGTCAGTGCAAGTTGCTTTCAGTTAAAACAGCTCAAACATGCATTGAAGTCTAGGACTAGGTTTAAGCCTTGTCTATAAAACCTCTCAATTAGGGGTGGGAATCACAGGGTACCTCACGATACGATACGATACAGCAATACCGATAATATCATGATACAGCAATTCAGCGATAATCGATATATTGCTAGATAATCCTTTAATGATACATCACGATATCTAACTATGAAAACAAAATGCCCGTGAAAAGTTTAAGAGCAGGTTTTCTCTCTTTATTAAAGTCCAGACTGTTAGAAAACAGCACAAAAAGTTTATTTTATTAATTAAAATATCGATAATTGATGCCAGCATACCGATTCTCATATTGCACGGAGAAGGACAACAATATATTGCCCTATCGATATTTTGTCCCACCCCTAGTGAAGATTGATTTATGTTCACTTAAATTAAAAGTTGTTAAATTATTTTAAGCCTTATAAAAATCATAGCTTTCAATTATACTGTAATGCTAAATGCCTATAATTAATGGCTAAAATTGAGCTGAGCTTCTTTCATAAAAATATGCCATTAAACAAATATTTAAAATATTATAGGTAACTGTCTTTATGTTGTTTCTACGTTAATATATATATATAAAATTGACTAATAATATATATATACTGTACATACACCCAAACAGGATATAGAGTGGTGCAGGTATGACGTCAGAACCCAGAAGACTACTTCGCCGCTGGTTCCTTCAAAAATTTCCTATGAGGTTTCATAATGGGGTTTATCAATTTATGTGTAAAATAAAGCCTATGGTAAACATAACTTGATTATTCTATGATGTTTTTTTCTACAGCAAATGAATTGTGCTCATTTTTGAAAACGTACAGTGTGTGCAGTGTACGTTGTAAAACAAAGAGTCTAAGTATCGTCCAGTTATGTTTACCACAGGCTTTATTTTTACTCGTTAAATGAAAAACCCCATTATAAAACCACATAGGAAAATCTCGAAGAACCAGCGGCGAATTGACAGCTGACAGCTCTGCCCCTGGAACTTCAATGAGGGCAATAGGCTCTTGTATGTGAGAAGAGTTGAGAAGACGTGGAAAAACAGCTGCTAGTGTTAATGCAGAACTTTTATTTAATAAAAAAAGTTTATATTATACCCTACTTTTTAATTTGCTATTATTATTTTATTAATTTCAGAGGGTCAGGACAACTCACTCTGGATGTATCATTCTGTACTCGCATCATTCTGTACTCGCATCATTCTGTACTCGCATCATTCTGTACTCGCATCATTCTGTACTCGCATCATTCTGTACTCGCTCGCATCATTCTGTACTCGCATCATTCTGTACACGCATCATTCTGTACACGCATCATTCTGTACTCGCATCATTCTGTACTCGCATCATTCTGTACTCGCATCATTCTGTACTCGCATCATTCTGTACTCGCATCATTCTGTACTCGCATCATTCTGTACTCGCATCATTCTGTACTCGCATCATTCTGTACTCGCATCATTCTGTACTCGCATCATTCTGTACTCGCATCATTCTGTACTCGCATCATTCTGTACACGCATCATTTTGTACTCGCATCATTCTGTACTCGCATCATTCTGTACACGCATCATTCTGTACACGCATCATTCTGTACTCGCATCATTCTGTACTCGCATCATTCTGTACACGCATCATTCTGTACTCGCATCATACCAGAAGTGTCAGGACAACTCACTCTGTATCATTCTGTACTCGCATCATTCTGTACTCGCATCATTCTGTACTCGCATCATTCTGTATTCGCATCATTCTGTACTCGCATCATTCTGTACTCGCATCATTCTGTACTCGCATCATTCTGTACTCGCATCATTCTGTACTCGCATCATTCTGTACTCGCATCATTCTGTACTCGCATCATTCTGTACTCGCATCATTCTGTACTCTCATCATTCTGTACACGCATCATTCTGTACTCGCATCATTCTGTACTCGCATCATTCTGTACACGCATCATTCTGTACACGCATCATTCTGTACTCGCATCATTCTGTACTCGCATCATTCTGTACTCGCATCATTCTGTACTCGCATCATTCTGTACCCGCATCATTCTGTACTCTCATCATTCTGTACTCGCATCATTCTGTACTCGCATCATTCTGTACTCTCATCATTCTGTACACGCATCATTCTGTACTCGCATCATTCTGTACTCGCATCATTCTGTACTCGCATCATTCTGTACTCGCATCATTCTGTACTCGCATCATTCTGTACTCGCATCATTCTGTACTCGCATCATTCTGTACTCTCATCATTCTGTACACGCATCATTCTGTACTCTCATCATTCTGTACTCTCATCATTCTGTACTCGCATCATTCTGTACTCGCATCATTCTGTACTCGCATCATTCTGTACTCGCATCATTCTGTACTCTCATCATTCTGTACTCGCATCATTCTGTACTCGCATCATTCTGTACTCGCATCATTCTGTACACGCATCATTCTGTACTCGCATCATTCTGTACTCGCATCATTCTGTACTCGCATCATTCTGTACTCGCATCATTCTGTACACGCATCATTCTGTACTCGCATCATACCAGAAGTGTCAGGACAACTCACTCTGTATCATTCTGTACTCGCATCATTCTGTACTCGCATCATTCTGTACTCGCATCATTCTGTACTCGCATCATTCTGTACTCGCATCATTCTGTACTCGCATCATTCTGTACTCGCATCATTCTGTACTTCGCATCATTCTGTACTCGCATCATTCTGTACTCGCATCATTCTGTACTCGCATCATTCTGTACTCGCATCATTCTGTACTCGCATCATTCTGTACTCGCATCATTCTGTACTCTCATCATTCTGTACTCTCATCATTCTGTACACGCATCATTCTGTACTCGCATCATTCTGTACTCGCGTCATTCTGTACTCGCATCATTCTGTACTCGCATCATTCTGTACTCGCATCGCATCATTCTGTACTCGCATCATTCTGTACTTGCATACTGAAGGAGGCAGTCCAAATAGTAAACCTAACCACCATGTGCACACACACACACCCAGTCACATACCCAATTTTCTGCTATCTGCATACTCCATAAACATAACTTTTTGAAGTATTAAAATCCTTGAAAAGCATGTAAAGCAAAAGATCAGCTGAAACGTGTTGAGAAACAGGATAAGATCGAACCTTTGCGAGTTCTTCAATCTCATTGCCAAAGTTAGTGTCTCCCTCTGGCAGCTCCTCATCTTCAGGAGTTTGATCATCATCATAATCAGGCAACAGCATCTCTGTTGACACGTCAAAATCCACATTGTCAGAACCAACCAAAACTGGCATCAAATCGTGAGTATGTATAAAGACACGTTTTACCATGATAAGAAAAATAGTAACAGTCTTACCTGGGCTTGAACTCCCCAAGGAGGGCTAAAATTTCAAAAATAAAAAATAAGACATAAAAAGTTAAAAAGAAGCGGAAAAAATATATGCTGTCACATTTAGATTAACAATTTCTTTTTTTGGAGAGCTAACAGATATCAGGTTTGATTATGAGGACAGTGTTGTTACTGTGTTGTTGGGTGGCTGTTGGATTTCTGATATAAAATCTGGGTCCTGATGTAAAGTCAGTTGTGAACCACTGGACTAAAATAACAGTTTAAAATAAAACTTTTTTTATGCAGACTGTGGTTAAATCAGCTGTAAAACTTGCATAAAGCAAAACAGTAAATTATAAAAATGACCAGTGAAATCTATTAATTGTAATGATCCATGATCTATGATAAATATCTGTGTGGATGACTATGTATGGCAGCATCCAAGCAGACCTAATTCAGAATAAAAAGATGCACTACAGCAGTTTTTTTCAGTGATCCATATTATTTTTATTTAGTTTATACACTAACAAAAATGCCTTCTGTTATATTAAACCTTACAGCAGGCCAGGGTTAAAACATCCATGATAAAACCAGAGGAATCACAGATGCTCTGTGTGTATGACTTTGGAAGTTAAGGCTGATGTCTAGCTAATACTTTGTCTAGCCTTGATTAGGAACACTCTTTTAAGTACAAATCTGGGTATTGAAATATCCATAACTTCAGCATTTAGCTAAAATAATCAACACACTCGTCAGTGTTTATGTAAAAATATCAGATATAATTAGTGTACGGTAATGCATTAAAGTAAGGTGATAATAGAGTATCTGGCTAACTGAATGCGAGCTAACTTTGTAGAAATAAAATTTCAAAGAATTCAACGCGCCTTTCGACCTAAATTACCGCACAACCTAATAAGAAATATATACGATTTATTGTAATTTTCAAATCCATTAACAAAAATATTACTTCGGTTAACTGCTAATAAGCGGTTATTTATTTCTGGAAAATAATTAAAATAATTTCCTTCTTACCTCCGCCATATTTACAGCGCTGCTGAGGGTCAGCGGAATGTGGGCGGAGTCAGTGGTAATCCCCGGATGTTCTCTCTCTATCTCTGTCTCTCTCTCTCTCTCTCTCTCTCTCTCTCTTGGTTCAGTTTTTAGGTTTAGCTTAATACAGATTTAAAGGAGAAAACACCAAAAATAATGAAATTTAACCCTTATATAATTTTGCGGATCAGTTTTCAGGTACACTATGATGTATTTCTTGAAGATTGAAGTTTTGTTCCACATGTGTTCTTGAGACTAATGGAAAGTAAACATCCAAAATACAAATGTAAGTGTTATTTTATTGCACTTTATCTATTTGCGTCTGTTTTTTGTTTTGTTTTGTTTTCAAAATGAGAAGAAAATAAATTTCCATTTAGCAAATACATAGGCCAGTGGCCACACTTTGCAGTTTTCCTATAGCTGCTAGATATTCTGAAGATTCTTACTATGGTGTTTGTTCATGTTTTCCCTCCTTTTTTCTGGCTGTTATATTTTCTGATTTATCGAGTCGCAAAATGATAACCAAAACCCCCTATGTAAAAACGTTAGGCCCTAATAAATATTAATATATGTAAATAATTATTATTTACAGACTGTAGATCATAATTATTTAGCCTATAGCCTAATTTAAGTTTACACCCATATCGAAAACGCATATTTTGAAGCTGTAATGTTTATTTAACGCATGCTTTTAATTAGTAACAATTAGAACGTTTGGGGTGTGAGTGTGAGCCTATGTTTTCCACAACCTTATTTTACTGAATAAATGGACAAACCCAATTATAAAACTCCATATCTTGAGGGAACCACTGGCGAATAGTCTTCCGGTTAAAATTCTTATTTTATTTGGGAAATGTCATATAGGCCTACATAAAGCAAAGTATGTTTTCCACTGACTTAAAGATCATTTACTATTCTCTAACCTCAATACAGGACAATCGTAAGCTGTTAAGACATCTCAGCTGTTGAAAAATACTTGATGTATTCGATGTATGTTTGATTTTTGATATGTAGTTTAAAAGATTTGTGTTTTATGACTCTGTATTCAACTATTGTTAACTCAATTTAAAATATCTTCTGGGTTTTGACATCCTCCCTGAACCACTTTTTGCTTTTATTTTTTAATTGAACTTTCAAAATGAGAAAATTCAGCAAGTCCAAACTTTTTTTTCCAATTTTTGCAAAGAATACAAAGTGAAACAACAATACATAAAATGAAACACTTAGAAATTGTGCACATCTCATGCAAAAAGAAAGATGAACATGAACATTCAAAAATTAAATGCACAATAGACTCTCTTTCACAGTTACCAAAAGAGCATTTGTAATCTATATCCAGATAAAAACGCTCTAATGTGTCTTTCACATGATATATTCTGTCAGCAAATGTGCTGTCAGCTTGCATGCGGATCCAACATAGGCTACTTTAAACGTTGAAATGTCAATCTCAACCAAAAATAATGGTTTGGACTTTGGATCAAAACTCAACATTGTATCAATGTCACCTTGTTAGGGATCTAATTAATTGGTTATCATGAATTAAATCAAATGTATCTAAAAACAAATGTTTGGAGGCCTTACTTCCAGTTACACCAAGTGCCCTGGTTTCTGAACAGAGATAGTATTTTGACAGTTCAGTATTAATGACAATACAATGTTCTTTAACTGAAATATGGCACTTAAATTTCATAGTTCATCAATACTCAAAAGTTGACCATTAGAAATCAATAGGCTGCTTTTTTTTTTTTTTTATGTAAGGCTGCAAAGTGAGGCCGTGTATGGCAGGAGGAATTGGCATATAAAAAGATGGTTTGACTATAAATATATTTTAGATAGTTACATATTTCAACGAGTCATAATTATGATTTGACTTTTCAGATTGATAATTAGAGATATCTGCAATTACAACTGCACTAGTAGGAAATTAAATCCGAGATATCTCGAATTAGTCAAATCAATAGACTGTAAAAAAAAAAAAAAGATAGACAACGCACCTTCACTCTCTTCCACTGAAGAAAAAGTGAAGCCGCCATTGTCAATATGGCCCTGACATCTTGCGCTGCTTATGCATCATGGGAGCCTGAGTCTGCAGAGGTGAGCATGAAGTGAAGCCCTCCCACACTCCCACAGAATCGGTTAGTATAGTTTAACTGCAGAACAACAACTCATCATGCCATTGTGAAATAAACAATTATGTAAATGTAGAAATTAAAGTTAAAGCTTCAATCTCCTCCTGAAGATCCCGGAAAAAGTCTCAGTGACTACTTCGCTCAGAGAAGCTGGCAATCTCAGCTGTCATTCATGATGTCCGTTTTTCAGAGGTGTAAAGTCCAGGGGTCAGAAAGTAAAAGTCCTGCCATGTGTTTATTCCACCCATGAACTCAGCTAGCTGATTTCACTAATTAGTTCTCTGTCTGAAAAACTGTGCTAATTAGCAAATCCAGGTTATTGGAACAAAAATACTGAGGAGGACTTTTACTTTCTGAACCTGGACTTTACACCTCTGCCGTTTTTACAGCATCAAATAACTAACAAAAACCAAACTTATTTTACAGTTTTTTTCAATCGCTAAGAAGCGTTTGCCAATTCTTAAAATACTTTTTCTAAACTCTTAACACAGCAACACACCAATATCACACAATTAGCCAAATAGTAAATTTTCTGACCAAAACCAGAGTTTGTTAAATAAATACAAACTCTACATTTCAAAACGCTAAAAAAAACCTTTTCAATATACACTAACTCTATCAAAACACTGCAAACTCGTTTCAAAATCGAATCATTCGGTCAAAACTTTAGCACTCGTTTTCTTTCCAACATGAACACATAGTCAATCATAGCGTAATGACTGTCAAAATACTAACAGTTGGTGGCATTACAAAAACTGCATTACTTGTCATGTTTCAGTTCTATCTGTATAGAACATACAGTATGAAATCATTTTTTTTTAATTATTCATTCAGCTGTGTGTGTGAGAGAGAGAATTCATGGTGACTTAGATGTGTACAACATAATATCTAAATGTAAAGGAGTCATCAATACTTACAGTAATAGAATGTACAACTGGGAGAAAAAAAACAGTAAGTGACAGAATTGCTGCAGCAAAGACTTTAATAGCAATATGAAATTGCCGTCAGTGATCAAAACGAAACAAGGACAAACATACATGGCCTTTGATTTAAAGTGTGCAAAAATAAAACAAAATGACAGGGAAAAAAAGGCCCCCCCCCAAAAAAAAAGTCCTGTTCTAATCTATACGATCTTCAGCATTTGGCCACATGTTCTCATCTACATCACATTGTATGTTGTCTCTCGCTATACACCTTGGAAAGAAACGCTTGGCATGCCTTATCCACCCCTGACAGTCTTCAACTGAGATGTCTCTGCAGCCAGCATCCATGGCATCCAGGAGGGACATTTGGTCTTGAGGCTGATGATCATAAACTTTCCACCTCCAAGCAGAAAAAAATTCCTCAATGGGGTTGAGGAAAGGAGAGTACGGTGTCACGGTTGGTAAATCCTATGTCTGCTCCTTGTCTCGTGGTTCTGTTATTGTATGTGTTGTGTGCTGATTAGAGGGGCGTGGCCGCTCATCAGCGCTCGTCAGCAATCACCCATCATCAGCTGCAGTCTATCATTCATGTGTATATATTCTCATCAACTTCTCATCTCCTTTGTCAGATCGTTGTTTGTGGTTCCCGGTGTGTGTGTTCCCAGTCTCGTTCAGTCGTGTGCTTCTCTTGTTCCGGTTCTTGTTCGTTGGATGTTGGATTACTGTTCGTCGTTGGATTTTCACCACCACTACCACTACACGCTGCACTGTCTTCTGACCATTGGAGTCCCTGCGCTACTAACCTGTTTGCCTGGACTTTGGACTGCCTATCTATTCCATCATTTCAATAAAAGAGTTAACTGCAATTGCTTCCGTTTGATCACTCATGACATACGGAGGAAGAAAAAGGGAAATCACTCTTGGATGTGCTGCAAACCAGTTTGTGATTGCATGTGAAAGGTGGAATGCTACATTGTCCCATGTAATCACAAATGTCCTCATGTTTCCTCCCACCGGTTCTGCTTCTGGGACCAGTTGTTGGTGGAGATCATCTAAAAACAAAAGAAGGCACTCTGTGTTGTAGGGACCAATCTGGCTTTTCTGCAGGACCAAACCAGCACTTGAGATTGCAGCACACATTGTGATGTTTGCTCCTCTCTGACCCGGCACATCAACGGTGGCCCTTTTCCCAATTACATTTCTTCCTCGTCAACGTGTTTTTGCCAGGTTAAACCCTGCCTCGTCTACATAAATGAATTCATGTAGTGTCTGATTAGCCTCCAACTCCATAATTCTCTGAAATAAAAAACAAACACAATTTTTACATAAATGTTTTAGAGTAGCAATAGAGAATAGTGAAAAAAGGAAGTATGGGTAGTCACTGTAGAATCAGACATGGTGTATAGACACCATACCTGGACATATTGGTGCCGGAGTTCCTTGACCCGATCACTGTTTCTCTCAAATGGAACCGTGTACAACTGTTTCATTCTAATTCTGTGTTTGGTCAGAGTCCGAGCAATGGTAGCTTGGCTGATGCTTTCCACATTTTGGAATACCAGGTTGTTCTCTACAATTCTGGTCTGAATTTCTCTCAGTTTTATTGCATTGTCAGCAATGACCCATCCTACAATGGCATGTTCTTGGTCTTCACTGAGAAGCTTTCTTCTTCCCCCAGAGCGAGGAAGTGGTTGCGTCCTTTAGAAGAACAAAAATACAACATTTGCATTTGTAACTAGTGATGTCCAGCAGTTACTGTAATACAGTAAATAGCAACCGCATTGATAGCCCTAATGAAATGCATGACTTACCTGTTGGTTTGTTGAAAAATCCGGATAATGGAAGCAACGGTTGACCGTCTGAGATTAGGCTGGACTCTTTCACCAGCCTCTCTCAATGATAGACCATGGTTTATCACATGGTCTATGATGGTGGCTCTGATTTCATCCGTGACAACAGCTCTTACTCGCCTTTGAACAGCACCACGCATTCTGACTCCT